AAGAGGTGGATGTTCCAAATGGAACTACAGACATCAAAGGCAGCAGCAAATAATACTCTATTGGCATTTAATTTAATCCTCGCAACCACCCAATAAAGCAGTACTTTTTTTTAAAACTGAGATGTAATTGATGTATAACATTATTAGTTTTGAATACACAACAAAATTATTCCATGTATATATGTATTGTGAAATGATCACAGTATGTCTAGTTAACATCTATCACTACACATACTTATGAATCCTTATAAAAACTTTTGAGTTCTATTTTCTCAGCACTTTCAAGTATATACTACAGTATTATTAACTATAGTCGCCATGCTGTACATTATCCCGAGGACTTATTTTAGGACTAGAAGTTTGTAGCTTTTGACCTCTTTCACCCATTTCACCTACACCCTAATCCACAGCCTCTGGCAACCACTAATCTGTTCTCTGCATCTGAGTGTTTTGTTGTGTTTTTAAATTCCACATGTAAGTGAGATCATATGTATTTGTCTTTCTCTGTCTGACTTATTTCACTTAACATAATGCCCTCAATGTCCATCCATGTTGTCACAAAAGACAGGATTTCCTTATTTTTTTCATAGCTGAATCATCTAATGTGTGTATACACCCGCCTCCCCACACACACACACTTTTCTTTATTCATCCATCAATTGACAACTAGGTTCTTTCCATGTCTTGGCTATTGTAAATAGCACTGCAATGAACATGGGGGTGCAAAAACCTTTTTGAATTAGTTTTTTTCTTTTCTTCCAGATAAATATTCAGAGCTAGAACTACTAAATCAAATGCTAGTTCTATTTTTAATTTTTTTTGAGGAAAAAAATATTGTTTTCCATAGTGGCTGTAAAAAGTTACAGTCCCATCAACAGTGCATAAGGATTCCATTTTCTTCATAGCTTTGCTATCACTTATTTCTTGAAAAAAGCCATTCTGAAAGGTTTAAGGCAATATATCATATTGTAGTTTTCATTTGGATTTCTTTTATAATTAGTGATGCTGAGCACCTTTACATGTACCTGTTGGCCATCTATATGTCTTCGTTAGAATGTCTATTCAGATCCTCTGTCCATTTTTTTTTTTCCAGACTCTGTGTTTTTGCTATTACGTTATATGAATTCTTTATATTTTTTTAATATTAACCCCTTGTCAGATATATAATTTGCAAATATTTTTCCCATTCTATAGGTTGATTTTTCATTTTGTTGATAGTTTCTTTGCTATGCAAAAGCTTTTAGTTTGATGTAGTCCCACTTGTTTATTTTCTCTTTTGTTACATTAGCTTTTGGTAACAGATCCAAAAAATCACCGCCAATACCAATAGCTGTTCTTTTAGGAATTTTATGGTTTCAGGTCTTACATTCAACTCTTTAATCATTTAAATTTTTGTTTATGGTATATAAGATAATGGATCTAATTTCATTTTTTGCATGCGGCTGTCCAGTTTTCCCAACACCATTATTGGAGAACTGCCATTTCCTCATTAAATATTCTTGACTCCTTTTGTCATAAATTAACTGACCATATAAGCATGGGTTTATTTCTGGCCTCTCTATTCTGTTTCATTGATCTGTGTGTCTGTTTCTCTGCCAATACAATACATTTTGATTACTATAGCTTTCTAATACAATTTGATATCAGAAAGCATTATATCTCCAGCTTTTTCTTCTTTCTCAAGATTGTTTTGGCTATTTGGGGTCTTTTGTGGTTCCATACAAATTTTAGAATTGATCTATTTCTGTGAAAAATGCCGTTGGAATTTTAATAGAGATTGCATTGATTTTATAGATTGCTTTGGGTAGTATGGACATTTTAACAATATTCTTCCAATCCAAGCACAGAATACTTTCCATTTATTTGTCTCTTCAATTTCTTTCATTGTCTTAACAGCTTTCAGTGTACAGATCCTTCTTCACCTCCTTAGTTAAATTTATTCCTAGGGATTTCATTCTTATTGATGCAATTGTAAATGGGATTGTCTTCTTAATTTCACTTTCTGATAGTTCATTATACAAAAATCTGCTGTTTTTATACACTAAGGATGATTTTGTATCCTGTAACTTCACTGAATTCATTTATTAGTTCTAAGTTTTTTGGTGTAGTTTAGGGTTTTCTATATAGAATATGTCATCTGCAACTAGTAAATGATTTTACTTGTTTCCCAATTTGGATGCCATTTGATTTTTGCCTAACTGCTCAGACAAAGACTTTTAATACTATATTGAGTAAGAATGGGCATCCTAGTCTTAGCCCTGATCTTAGAAGAAAAGCTTTCAGCTTTTCACCATTGAGCATGATGTTAGCTGTGGGTTTGTCATATGGCCTTTATTATGTTGAAATATATTCCATCTACACCCCATCGTTGAGAGTTTTTATCATAAATGGATGTTAAATTTTGTCAAATGCTTTTTCTGCATCCATCGAGATAGGATTTTTATCCCTCATTATGTTAATGTGGTATATCACATTGATTTGCAGAACCATCCTTGCATCCTCAGAATCGATCCCACTTGATCACAGTGTATAATTTTTTTAATGTATTCTTAAATTGAAAAGGAAGAAGTAAAACTGTCATTATCTGCAGATGACATAATACTATATATAGAGAACCCTAAAGATTCCACCATAAAACTATTAATTCAGTAAAGAAGCAGGATACAAAATTATTCAGAAATTGACTACATTTTTCTTACACCAATAACAAACTATTAAACAATCCCATCAAATTTACAATTGCATCAAAAAGAAAAAAATATCTAGGAATAAGTGATATCTGTATTTGGAAAACTATAAGACATTGAAGAAACTGTAGAAGATACAAATAAATGGAATGATATACGGTGCTCAGGGATAGGAAGACTTAACATTGTTAAAATGTCCATACTACCCAATCTACAGATTCAATATAATCCCAACTGAAATACCAATGGTATTTCACAGAACTAGAATAAATAATCCTTAAATTTATATGTAACCACAAAAGACTCCAAACAATCAAAGCAATCTTGAGACAGAACAACATTGGAGGTATGCTACCTGATATCACACTGTATTACAAGGCTATAGGAATCAAAAAAGCATGGTACTGGCATAAAAACAGACACATAGACCAATGGAACAGAACAGAGAGCCCAGATAACAACCCACACCTATATGGCCAATTAATCTATGACAAAAGAGGCAATATATAATGGGGTAAAGACAGTCTCTTCAATAAATGGTGATGAGAAAACCGAACAGATACATGCAAAAAAAAATTATTTTTGTATAGTGTAAGAAAGCAGTCTAAACTCAAAATGGACTAAAGAATTAAATGTAAGACCCAAAACCATAAAACTCCTAGAAGAAAACATAGGCAATAAACTCTTTGACATTGCTTTTAGTAGTATTTTTTCTGATATGTCTCATCAGGCAAGGAGACCAAAAGAAAAATCAAGTAAGACTACATCAAACTACAAGTTTTTGCACAGCGAAGGAAACCATCAACAAAATGAAAAGACAACCTACTGAATAGAAAATATTTCCCAATACGTCAATGAGGGGTTAATATCCAAAAAATACAAGGAACTCATACAACTTAACACCAAAAAAAAAACCCCATAACTAATCCTATTAAAAAGTGGGCAGAGAACCTCAACAGACATTTTCCTCAAAGGAACATACAGGTGGGCAATAGACATATAAGAAGATGTTCAGCATCACTAATTATCAGGGAAATGCAAATTAAAACCACAATAAGCCATCACCTCACACTTGTCAGATTGGCTAGCATCAACAAACAACAAGTGTTGTTGAGGATGTGGAGAAAACGGAATGCTTGTGCATTGCTGGTGGTATTGTAAATTGATGCAGCCACTATGGTTAAGAGTATGGAGGTTCCTCAAAAAATTTAAAAAAGAACTGCCACTGCTGGATATTTTTCCAAAGCAATCCAAACCACTAATTTGAAACAATGTCTGCACCCCGATATTCACTGAAGCATTATTTATAATAGCCAAGATATGCAAGCAACCTAAGAGCCCATCAACAATTAGGTAAAGAAGAGGTGGTACATACATACAATGGAATATTACTCAACCATAAAGAAGAATGAAATCTTGCCATTTGTGACAACATGGATGAATGGACTTAGAGGGTATTATGCTAAGAGAAATAAGTCAGAGAAAGACAAATACAATATGATTTTACTTATATGTGGAATCTAAACAATAAAAACGAAAAACAAACCAGAAACAAACTCACAGATACAGAAATAAATTCATGATTGCCAGATTTGGGGTGGGGATGGGTGAAAAACTGAAGGGATTAAGAAGTATAAATTGCCAATTAGAAAATCGATCTTAGGGATATAAAGTACAGCACAAGAAATACTGTAATAACTGTGTATGGTGTCAGATGAGTGCTAGACTTATCGGGGTGATCATTTCATAAGTAATATAAATGACTAATCAATGTTACATACCTGAAATTAATGTAATATTCTAAATCAACTATAATTGAAAAAAATTGTTTGTATTATAAGAAGAGAAAATATCAGTACCTAGAATAATGCCTGGAACTAATAGGTATTCAATTTATATTTATTAGATGAATGTGGACATATCGTTCCATTCATTGAAAATTTTCATTTCAGGTACCTAATCAGCAAAAGCCAGTTTATGGCCTAAATTACCACAAGCATGATATGCAATAAGAAGTTACTAAACTATTAATTCATATCTTTCAAACTGTCAGTTCTTCCGGAACCATATCTACTTCCTTGAAAAAAATTTATTCTCTTTTAACGTAAGATGTTTCAAAAAGATTAAAATAATCTGTTATCATCCACTAAGAAAAAAAAAATGAACTGGTAATTGTTTTTATGCTAGTGAGGAAAAAATGGGAATGGCTTTCACACTTACAAGTGGAGTTTAGTAAGTTATTCTGCAGTTTTAGGGCAGGTACAACACATGTAAAATGAATGAACAACTTAAAATAATCTGTAAATAACCTACCAAATCCAGGAATACTTTTGAGACTGGCTTTGAGGCAAATTTTCTCCAATCTCAGGTAGCTATATCTCATCAGACAATTCCACAGGAACATCCAGTCCATTCTTGTCCGATGATTCATGATAATGACACTTCTTTCTCCAGGAACAAATGCATCACCTGTTATAATCACTTTTACACCAAACATGGTCTCCAGTAATGCCTAAAAAAATAAATAATATACATAACAATTCAAAGTTAGGATTTCCCATAAGTAAATTTTATCATGTCCTATAAATAAGTCTTTTGATTTCTAAAAAGTAAAAAATATAGTGTTTTCCCTGATTCCTATAATAAATCAAGAAAAAAGTTATTCTGGTAGAATGAGAATATGAAGGTTTTGTTTCTATTTTTAGTTCTACTAACTTAAGTTTCTGGCAGTTTCCTAACTTTCAATTAAATATTCAAGATAGTAGGTTAAAAAGAAAAAAGTGGAAAAGGTGTATAAGATTCCAACGTATAATTTTCTAAAGCTATAAATATATGATTATTACATTTTTTATGGAAAGAATAGTCAAATAAAGTCAACAATGGATATAGGGCTGAGGGAACAGAAAGTCAAACATTTTATACCTGTCTGTATTATGATTTTTTTTAAAACAAATGCACGTATTTGTTTAACAATATATAAATTAAAAATAGCTATTTTTACTAAAGTGCTGCATCTGTAGCACCTACAACAGTTCATAGCACATAGAAAATGCTCAAATATTTGCTGAATTTTTTAATTAACTTTTCTGATGGCCAGCATATAATACGCACAAAGTACTTAGAAGTATATTATAGACTGAAGTTCTTAAAAGAAAAATAAAAGAAACCTTGATTACTGATTTCAATCCTTATTTAAATTTTCAAACAATTTACTTATAACAAATCTATTAGTTATCTACAACAACATGGAGGACACATAAGCATAATGTTGAGAGAGAAGTAAAGCAAAGAATATGTACAGTAAGTGTCCACATATAAAACTTTTTAAAACAGTAACTAAGATATTTTAGGAGTAAATAGATAAGGAATAAAATTATAAGGAACAGCAAGAAAATAACTACCTTTTAAGTCAGGTTAGTGGCTACTTCTACCAAACGGGAAGGCGTTGTGACCGGGAAGCTAGATAACTTGTGGGAGGGCTGGCAATGTTCTATTTTTGACCTGTTTGATAGTTATACTTTAAAAAAATTTATTATTAAAGTGTGCTTTTATGTTATATTAACTTTTCATTACACTTGTTATATTTCACACAATAAAGCTATTTAAAAAAATACAAAACAGGACTTCAACAACATAAGAATAGGATCAAGAGAAAAACAACTTAGAAGAAATATCAGCTAAAGGAAAAAAAATTTGAAATGTTATGTGTCCAAAAAAGTACATAATTGTAGTATTAGGATCTTAACAGAATAAAAAAAAGATCACTTGGGCTAACATAGCTACAGATACCCCATAGTTACGTCTCCATTAAGTTACTTTCCCAGGACTGAGATTCACTTTAGGGCCTGAGTATTTAACATGGTATTTATCAAGTCCGATAAGGATGGTCTTCAAGAAGTCAATAAATATGTACCCTTCTTGAAATTGTATACAAAGATATGGGACTGTGTGCACGAATACATTGCTAGGCAAAATGCCTACACTTTTCATCAGATTTTTAAAAGAGTCCATAACCACTCAAATAATTATAACCCCTACTCCAAGGTCTCTGAGAGATTAAGTCCCTTAGAAGACTTCATGATGGAGAGGATCAGGGCAGAGTCGTCTAGGCTTGGACCTACAGTAAAAAGTATTTCTTTTCCTACCGGTAAGTGTACAGGACCATCAACTACCAAAATAAATCACTAAATTTTATGACCTGGCCAAGAGGATACATATGAAGTCACCATCCAGGGTTAATTCGGATCAGCTCCACCTGCTTTCCAAATGATATACTCTTCAAATTAGCAAAGACTTGAAAAGTAGGATACCCTTCCCTTAACTGATGGAAAGAGGAAGTTAATCATGTGTTGTACTATAAAACGAGTTTCAAATCTTAAGCCTATAAACCCGAAAGCTCAACTCTAATCTTTTAAGTGTAATTTCTAATGCAAGGTTCCTATGGGTCTCAAAACAATCTTTTGCTTTTCATTACAGAAAATGTCAAAATAAAAAATCCCAGACTGTTTGCCCAGGAGCATAGCATGTGGTATTCTCTCCCTTGCCATCCAGCACCCTTCAGAATGTGCCTGAAAGTTATATATAACCTTTTGGGCAGCCTAGATCTTAAGCTCACCTTAATCATTTTTAATACCAGACAAGACATACCTAGTCAACATTATTTACAGCTCCTGCAAGGCAGGATAACAAATACACCACACAGAGTTAGTTGTAATGTCTATAAAGAGCTCCAGAATTCAAATCTAGATTAAAAACTATAAAAAGACACTATTCTCATAGCTGTCCTATTTCTCATATAGAAGATAGTTTCAGCAATAAGCAGCTAACCTTATAAAATTTTATAATGACTTCTCTTATTGACCTAAGAACTACAGCTCTCATGACTTTTGCCTACTTGGACAAAGATTTCTCCTAAATTTAGAAATACAGAAGCAATTTATGAGGATCTTTTACATGCCACTATTTACTACCTCCAAGTGTTCCACCATGTTTGAAAACATTAAAATGAGAGGTTCCCCTCATGATCACACAGAATCGGTTTTGCCATCATGCTTCATGCTCTCATTTATTATTCCAATAGATCTTTATTTAGTCTGAGGTAAGAACAACTCCTGTGATGTTCTTCATCTCCAAGTCTGCTTTGTCTTTTCAGACTCAGCTTCGACCCTGCTCCTCAAATCCTTAAGTATTTAAGACTTTTGCAATCTCAAGTCATTCATCAAACACCGAGCGCCCTCTTTCTTAAGAGAAGCAGTCTAGACAGAAATTATATCCATTAGCCTGTGTTTGCTAACATCTATTTTGTTCCAGGACTGAAATGGAATCAGTGGGCTGTCTGTGGAAGAGACTTTTGTCCTAAGTGAAGAGTTAGAAAATGACATCTAACTTCCTAAGTTATGATTTACGGTGAAAAGACAGAACTCTCAAGTAATTTTCATAATCCCAGATAATTAGCTAACAATCGAAATGTTGGAAAGCCTCAATTTTTAGAAGCAAAAACTGCTCTGGGCACATGCAAAGTTTGACCTTGATAAAATTATACTGAATAAAACAATCCAAAAATCAAATGAACCAAGATATGCACTCTCTATTATAGAAATGTTCCAAGAGAGACTGAAGGATACTCCACAGACTGTTCTAGAAGAGATTCTTGCACATACAGATAGGTTAGACTTGGTAACCTCTAAGTCCCATCTAACTGTAAGACTCAAATATTTTACTATAGTACTTCATTTAACACAGACAATATGTTCCTTGAAAATAGTAAGACATGAAAAATTTTGCCAATGAAACCATTTTAAGGCACGAGAAGCTTATAAAAGAACATTTTGTGATTATTTCTGTGAAAAATAATCTAAAAATAATCAAAAAAAATAGTCTAAGTGCATTTACCCTAATTTATTTTTAGTGAAAAGTTATTTTTAACTGTTTGAGATTACAATAAAGTACACCTATTATAGGAAAAAATTATGAAATTCCTTCTGAATAAAAAATGACCTATTCCATTTACTTCAAAATAAAAACTCCTTTAGCATCTTGTAAAGGTATGAAATAAATGGTCATAGAAGACACCCTGACAGTTTTTCTCCATTTCTTTGAGCAGAGATGTTCACTATCTCAAAACTGGAACATCAATTTTCTGTAACCTAGCTATAAGGAATCAACTCCAATAAATTTCTTAACTGAGAGACTCTCTGCCTGATATGCTGTTACTAGTGAACAAGGTATTAAGTTAAACAGCTAGGTAACAGAAGTTTTTTCAAATATATACCAGTATAATACTACAGTGGTGGTGGAATCTTGCCCATGTGTTAAGTTCTCAAGTCAGGTAATGAAAGGTCAGGAGAGCTGAAATTATCCTTGAAAATCTCAAAGGAAGGTCCCTCACAAGAGACTAGAACACTATTAGTAAGTCTAGCTCAGCTAATTTTTTCTAAATATTAGACTGGATTTCTCCAGCTGACCATCAGATGAAGTGATTGGTTTACGTGTTTTAAACACATGAATTATACTCCACACAGGACCACTCACATTTCCCATTTTATTTCACATGAAGCAGAGGTTCATGGGGAACCCTACATTTAAGAATTTCTCTTTCTACCCATCCCTCATCCATCCTAGTATGTAATAGAATTCTGCGGTGATAGTACTAGTAATAGCAGCACTAGAAGCAGCACTGTCAAGAGTTTGTCCAGTAAAATCCAGCATTTCGTCCAGAATACATTTTAATTGTGTCTATGAGTGCTCAGAAAAAAAACACTACATTTCTCACATTACAGTGTTTAGCTGTTCTCATCAATGGGTGAATAAGAGTAATATGTATACCTTGTAATTCACTTGTCTAAAAGAAATGTGCTTGATCTGGACTTCCTCCCTCCCTACTGACTGCAGGGTGGGGTAAAGCATGGCCGTGACCCGTCTAGACCATCTAGAAGAGGATGGGTAGAAGGAATCTGAATCCTTGAGTGACATCAAGGAGCAGAGCTACCCTGCCAACCTGGACCTGATGGTGAATAAAGTTCTACCATATTCAAGCTACTGTATTTTGAATTTTCTTTGATAGTACAATTTTAGCCTACCTCCTAAAACTAATATAGTAGCAAACGTTTACTGCATACTTTACAAAGCCTATATTATTATCTCATTTAGTAGTCACAATAACTCCCTGAGGTATGTAGACAGTATTAGCACCTCTTTTTTTAGTGACAAAGAAAGAGAAGTTTAGAGAGGCTAAGTAATTTAGCCAAGTTCAAATAACTAGAAAGTGTAAGGACAATAGTGAAACCAAATGTCTGTCTCCAACGTCTGTACCAGTAAGTACTCTGCTTATATTGGCTCTCCAAAGAAACCAGATTGATTTGATACTATAAAACATTACATTACAATGATTTCTACCAGTGTACTAACTACAAGAAAATTCTCAAAACTCTTAAGGTTTTTGGTAGAGAAGATCAGCCAAAAACATGTTACTCATAATCAAAAGATTATATATATATGCTGTGGAAAACTGATGACATTAAAGAAAATGAAGTGCAGTGAGCAATATATGACTGTTATCAAAAAATCATTTACCTTTAAATGTTTGCTTCAAAATTAGCTATGCTATGCTGAATCTGGAATGAATCTCAAAGATCATCTACTCCAATTTCCTTATTTTATAGATAATGAAATAAAAACCTAAAAAGTTATGTAAATGACTTGGCAAGTTAAACATTTTCAAAACAAAATATCTCTGGTTTTATTAATGACTATAAGTGGAAATATTGAACATTTAGACAGTCTGTACGTACATGACTTTTTAGAAAAATCTGTGATAGTTAATTTTATATGAACTGAAAATATGCTTATTTTACTTAATACAAGTATTTTATGGAGAAATGCTCACTTTGTAAATAAGCGAGTGATAGTGGCTAAGCAATAACACAAGCTGAATATTTTATATTAAATGGTATGTTTACAAGCTGCAATGAAACACTGGACCACATATCTTTAAAGCTGATTTAAAAATCTAACTAAGAATTAATGACCTGGGAAATCAACTTTGTCCTCTAACACAGGAAGCAGATTTTTTAGTCAAATGAAAGTCAGAAAAGAAGCTAGTCAAGCTGTGTAAAAGCAGGAGGACTATTATTATCTCCATAGAGACAGAGGCCATATCTGTGCTGTTCATCTTCACATCCTAGCAAAATGCTTGGCACATGATGGTCACTTAATAGTTGTCAGGTGAATATTCAGGGATCCTGCTGACTACTTTTGCAATAAACAAAAGTGACAAAACATCCTTCTATTAGAAAAGAAAAAGAAATTTGCCTAAAAGAATAAGGAGGATCCATATCATAACATAGGATTTGTACAAAGTTTCAATGCAAAGTATTTCCTACAGGAAGGAAAAAAATAATAATAAAGACTGTGATTACTGCTTCCAGCCCTGACAGAGTAAATGGTACTAGGTTTACCACCCAACTGACTTAAAGGCAAATATGGTCATAATGAATAAATACATGAATAATCTCAAGAAAGTAATGAAACCAACAAAGAATCCAATATAAATTCTAGGATTTAAAAGTATTTTAAATAGAAATCCACTATATGAAGAAAACAGCAGAGGAAAGGATGAGTGAACTTGCTGTCCTGTCTGACACTATAAGAAATCTTACATATAATTGCAGTCCCAAAAGGAAAGAGATACAGGCAGAAAAATACATGAAAAGATATGGCCCAATTTGGAGATAATAAACTAACCTACAGATCTAAGAAACCCAATGAACACAACAAAATAAACAAAACTACATTTAGATATACCATAATCAAACTGCTAAAAAATATATATTTTTTTATATAAATAAAAAATATATATAAAATATATAT